GATTTACGACCCGGACGAGAACCTGAACCGTTCGTTGGTAGTACCGTGTACCGTAGGCACTACTTGCGGCACTATTTGTACTCAGCTCGGCCTGGCCGTCGACGACCTGCACATTCAGTTCGGCGGTGACCTGCTTCGCCGTTTGACCGCCGACAGTCAGCCCCTGAAAATACAGAATTCCTTCCTGGCCAGCATCGGCTTCGACGCCCCTAGACAGCAGGATCTCGGAGATTCCGTGGATCTTCGGTGGTTGATAAGGTTCTACGCTGGTAAGTAGACAATTTGCGAAAAACAGCGTCAGAGTTCGAATTATGCTCAAGGAATTCAGGTTTTTCCTCTTCAGGAGCTGGTCCCCGTTATAGATGCCTTCTTATCCATTTGAATTTAGTTCTAGCTGCCCCGTTGTTACACGATTAGGAATAACGTGATCCTTCGGTTTAATATGATTCAAACATGTTTTGTTACGGATCAGGAAATAGAGGAAGCTGCATGTGCACATGTAAGGTCAATCAACCCTAGCTCATTCATTTTCCATCATTTCTTATTGGGTGAATCTGCATTCATTTTCGTGAGTATACTTTGCACAGACATTTATAGGTGCACATTCATGACGTAAATTCAGAACTGTACATACTTCCATGTGGTGACCTCCTAACAAATTTTCAATTTCGTGTAGTGCCATTTCGATGGATCCAACCATCCGCTTTATTCATTTCGAGAGCTTCCTTTGCTGTCGGACTGTAAGGTCTCCGATTTTATCAGGTTACCGATCAATCAGACAACTCCACGGATTGGACTTAAGGCGTGAGAATGCTAGTTGTTCGATACTATTGAACAGTTGGCTATCGCTTTCTGGTTGCCTTCTGATTTCGTAAAATGAAGCCTTCGTTTCCGTTGGACCATTTGTCAAGACCCACAGATTTGATCCGTCGTTCTTGGGAAGAAGCTGCTCACCAACAAGGGAACTTCAAATTGCTTAGCCTCTTTATCATCAGTAATCTGTCGGTCAATTAGCTTACCTTCATTGCTGTTTCAGAAGATCATAAATACGTCTTTTTCAACGAACTAACAAGGTCGACAATACACATGGGGGTTATGTCTCGCATATTTGCCTACTGACAGTGGCTTATTTACTCAGTACTCAAGCACTCCTTTGTTTGTATCTAACCCAGAGATGCACTGCGGGTGCTCAAACACAGCCGCGACTTATTGCTTAAATTTTCCCCCTAGACGACTAAAAGAAAAGATGCTGTGCGTTTACGTTGAGTTTATCCTGTACCAGAAATTGAATAAAATATAGTGTGCAAAAAAGCATCAGGAATGACAGTTACTATGAACTACAAAACGCCGAGTAGATCACGGATGTTAAGGTGAAAGACGGAGAGGAAGCAACAGATCATCATCGATCGACGAAAACTAACAAAAACTTCATTTCCTCCGTCAAACGAAACATCATTCTTTCGAAAGTACTTCATTTCTACCGTCCCTATTCGAGATGTGTGTCAGTCACTCACGACTATCATTCTGCCACAATCTCATCATCAGAACTGAAAGATTACGATAGTGAAAAATTGAAACATTTTTATGCGAACAATTTTTAGGGAACAAATAAGTTCACTCAGACTTTTCTACACATATTGCACAAGCAGTTATCAGTAAATTGTAAAGTTACATTTTTTCTAATTTTTGCCCGCAATATGCTGAGCAACGACCTATGCCAAGTGATTGTCGTCTATTAAGTCGATCAGGGCTTTTCTGATGGCTTTGTCTATAGTTCTATTCGTTTTGAGGGTTCATTGTTTCTTATTTATTATTTTATTTACGCATGTCTGTTCTATGTTTATAGTTTGAAAGGTTGCAGTGTGCATTAGTGCTCTTAATGATTCACGGTTTACACCAACCCTCTTTGCTTTACACTAATATGGCCTTGCAGGATGAGAACACAAATCATTACTCAGAGTTATTACAACGTTGCACCGCTTGTTTGCCTACAGACTACTAGGGGGATGCTCCATGACATTTGAACACCGACGGTGCGAGGTTGTAATGCAGCATCGCTGGGTTGGTTGAAATGTGTTAAGCCTGCTCACATGCTAACTCAAACATAATGCCTGTTTCTGGTCAGTCCAAAATATTTAGTGAGTGTTAACACTCAACACAGAGACGAGGAATCTGAGCATTCGCAATTATGCGCAATCATAATTAGACAGTTGGAGAATTTATTATAATAATAATTAGGCAATTGGACCAGCGTTGTTGAATTCCACCATTGTTTTTGTTCTTCTTTCTTTCATGTTTGGGTTACCTAGCAGGCTAATTTTTTCATGGTCTCCACAGGAATTTTCGATTCACTGCCATAGTGGCAGAATGTTCATACTGCTGCCAATGAGATGTCAGATATTGCTACGTACGATATAGTCTACCATCTAAGCCACCAATAAAGCTTGACCACCGTAAAATATTATTTGAACTTTTAAATTTATGGTTTACACCAATACTGCGGTAGAGAGTGACGACATCCCTCATTAAATAGGGTTTTACGCAGAGTTGCACTGCCCCTTGCTTCTAGACACTTCGAGATACTTTTGCGTACTTCATAGTTTTGTTTATGGCCTCTTGCGTTTCTTTTAGTTTCAATGTTGTCTATTTATTATTTCACTTTTGCATTTCCGCATTTTGTTTGTTTTTGAAAGGAGGATCCATCAATGACCTTGTTAAAGCAAAAAATTCAGCAGCTTTAGTCGTCAACCAGAATATGTCTCCGTTTTAGACCAATAACGAGGAGCTACCTTGCTTAAGGATACTTGGAATTGTAGACCGCCGATTCAAAACCGCAAGCTTGCAGGCTTGGGGTCGACTGGATGCCTTCGAGGTAGGTAAAAGAGCATAATTATGGGAAGCGGAACATTGCATCCTAAGTTAATGAATTGGTTTAAACATACAGCCTTCAGTGATAAAATACCTGATAGATTACGTCATTTTTGAGGTTAACGCCATACCATAGACGTTATGGAAGAATTGTGACACAAATGGTGCGTTATGGAAGTGTAGAGAGGATCAATATACAGTCGGTCATTTCACTTCTTCTTTTTCACGACCTGCGAATGCTCGTATCTCAGTGGTGCTCCTGCGAGTGCAAATTTCGCTTTCGCTTGAGACCGATTATACGAAATCGGTTTTCCCTATTATGGTTTAAACGATCACAGCATGGGAAGAAAGATGAAGGCATAGCATATGTAGGTATGAGGTCAGTTAGCAGGTTCTGTTGCTAACTGTGAATTACCCTGATGATGGCTTCTGTGCCAGAAGCACGAACTTCGAAATGAGAGATGTGCGTCTCGCCCGGCGCCGCGCCATTATTTTTACTGATAAGATTAATAATTCACGGTAGATTTTATTCTATCCCACTGCCTCACTCCCTTCCAGATAACTTTTTGCACCGTTCTACCAACTAAACTTAAGAAGGTATTGTTTGAAGTAAATATGAAATTGCCCTCGAACGTAGTTAGCACCCAAGCTTTTAGAAGGTGTCAGAGTCATCTCAAAGTTGATGCCATAAGATAATTTTTTCTCCAAATTGGAACTCGATATTCACGTTATGAAGGAGGGGGTGATTAAGCCACGGCATCTCATGTCAGGGCGAAGTTACCACGGTCAGTGTCGCGTGTTCGGCTGGTAGAAGACGCATTTCATGCGGTTTTAGGTGGTTAGCTTTGGCGCACTTTCACAGCATGTGACAACAGCACCACTTAAAGTTTGTCTTCTTTCCTCAAGTCAGAATTGCTATTTAGCAAAGCATCGGACTCAGACCCCGAAGGTCCGAGTTTCGACCCCGGTCAGGCCACACTAGCCTTTCTCTCTTTTGAGGTCGAAAAATGAGTATCACATTGTGGGAAGGAAGCAAGAGACCACGTGCTAAAGTTGCCAATGTGCCGTTGAGATAAC